GTAGAGATGGGGTCTCACTACGCTGCCCAGGCTGGTCTCAAACTCCTGGACTCAAGCAATCCTCCTGCCGCAGCCTTCGAAAGTGCTGGGATTGCAGGTATGAGCCACCACCCTTGGCCTGGATAGCCCTTTGGGTTTTTTGAGATAAAGTCTCGCTTCGCTGCCTAGGCTGGAGTGCAGTGGCACAATCTCAGTTTACTGCAACCTCCACCTCCTGGTTTCAAGCGATTCTCCTGCCTCAGCCTCCCGAGTACCTGGGACTACAAGCGCCCGTCACCACACCCAGCTAATTTTTTGTATTTTTAGTAGAGACAGGGTTTCGCCATGTTGCCCAGGCTAGCCACGAACTCCTGAGCTCAGGTGATCCTCCTGCCTTGGCCTCCCAATGTGCTGGGATTCCAGGCGTGAGCCACCGTGCCAGGCCTGAAAAGCCCTTTTGAAGACAAGACCGTGTGGCATTGGTCACGTGATCCGATCAGGAACAAAGCCACCTAAGTGCTCCACATGAAGGGTGCCAACCTGTAAGTCCTGATGAGGAAGCACCGCCCCTCGGCACCACTCACCTGTGGACTGTGCTTCTCCCACAGGGCAGGGATGAGTCTCTGGACTGTTTTGTACTCAACCGGAATCTCGTACACGTGCAGGTCCACACTGTCGCCAAGGCCTAGCTTTTCCAGCTCCTGGAAGAGAGGAGAGGGGGAGTCGTGGCCCCTGACGGCAGCTATGGGGATAATGCGCTTCCTGGGGGTGAAACAAACAGGCCACTCTTCTGACTTATTCTGCAGGATGGGAAGTGGTGTGTGTTGATTGAGTTCAAAGCTCCTCATTTCCTTCCCTACCCACTTGCCTCTAAGTCTCTCTGCATCTCTACAGAAGGTGACATGGATTCTATGGCCCCTGGGGTTAAATCCCAGGCTCCTTGGACTCAATCCTGCCTGTGTGACCTTGGGCAATCCACTTAACCTCTCAGAGTCTCAGTTTCCTCATCTGTAAAATGGGAATAACAGAGTATCAGGCCGGGCGTGGTGGCTCAGGCCTGTAATCCCAGCACTTTGGGAGGCCAAGGTACGCAGATCACCTGAGGTCAGGAGTTCGAGCCCAGTCTGGCCAACATGGTGTAATCCCATCTCTACTAAAAATACAAGAATTAGCCAGTGTGGTAGCATACGCCTGTAATCCCAGCTACTTGGGAGGCTGAGGCAGAATTGCTTGAACCTGGGAGGCAGAGGTTGTAGTGAGCTGAGATCACACCACTGCACTCCAGCCTGGGCAACAAGAGCGAAACTCCATCTC